CACCCCCCCTGCCGTCCCCTGCAGGTCCGTCTTCATGAGCGAAGCCCCGGCCTCCACGATGTAGTGGCAGATAGTGCGCTGGCGTAAGGCTGCAGCCTGGTGCAAGCTGGTTTCGCCGCTGGGGAGGAGAAAGCGGGAGATGTGAGATGTCCCCCCTGAACGGGGACAAGCAGCACGTGCGGGGCGCAGTGAGGCACAGCAATTCAGCTGCAGCAGAGGCTCGAGGTGGGTCGCGTGCATGTTCAGGCAGCCCTGGCAGAGGAGGGCGTGCTGCTTGGGGATGGTCAGTGCGGAGTGGACTGGGAACTGTGGCCGGTAGGTAGAGTGTGGGCAGCTGATAAGTGCCCAGATGACTGGTCACCTCGCAGAGGGTCTGGCCAGCAGGTAACGCAAGTCAGTCAGCAACTTACTTCTCCTCCTCCGTGGCATCGAGGATTTCTGAAGGGGCTGTGGAGAGAAAGACAGTGCAGGGCGAGTGAGACCCGGCTGAGGGGCAGAGACAGAGCCACCTACTCCCCAGTCATGCTCCACATCTTGTCATAGTGGCTGCTGTTTCCATGCTGCCTGCAGATGTCCTGGCTCCAAAGCACTCAGGCCAGCAACAGCACCTGAGCCCAACTGAGACTAGGGCAGAGGAGTTGCCTGAGGAGTTATGACAGAGTAATATGGAAATAAAAATAAAGCAGCCTTTCAGCGGGAGCTGCCAAAAACAACAGGTTAGCTGCCCTGAAGGCAGAAGGAGGACACTGAGAAATGTTTTCCAGAGACATGCTGGTCCCTGCAAGGATGGGACCATGCCACATAACAGCCATGGGGACACCCCAGTACTGGCAGGCAGATGCCAGGGAAAGCCCATACACCAGGAGAAGGATGTAGCAAACCTGGAGGGGAGGGATCTGTACCCAGGAGCACCCTTCTGAGCAGAGGGTCGGGCTTTTTTGGCTGCCGGGCTCCTTTGCTAAGGGTAGCACTCTAGCCCCAGCTCACCATTCTCGATGATGTATTTGACGATGTCCTTGCTCCCTGATTTGACGGCATGGTGGAGGATGGTCTGGCCCGAGGAGTCTCGCACCATCAGGTCACTTCCAGCCCGGTGCAGCTCTTGGAACTACAGGATTGCCAGATTGCTCCAGATGAGTTGCCTTTCCCAGCTTCAAGCCCCAAACCCCAGCACTGCATCCCTGGGGTGCCCAGCAGGTTGTATGGATATTTGGGACCTGGCAGGGAGCTTTGCCCAGCTCAGCTACGCTGCCAAGTCCCTTCCCTCTGTGTCCCCCAGGCAAGGAACGAGGCTTCTTGCCAGAAGCCTGCATGGTTTCCAGCCACCGATCCTGGAGGATGGCCCTTGACAGGAGCTCCAGGGCAATCGTGGAGCAGAGCTGGCAGGGCTTCCCACGGCCCGAGGGGCACACCAGCGGAGCAGGCTGCGGGGCGAGCACCCAGCGCAAGCCCTGGCTGCACATCGCAGCAGGAGTGCCTACCTTGCTGAAGTTACCGCTCTTGGCAGCTTCTATCAGGTCATCTGCAAAGAAGGGAGATGGGTCAGGGTCAGAAAAGCCAACCTGTAATGCCATTTATCTACCCTGGGTGGCAAGGGTTGGGCACCGGAGGCTCGAAGCAGTCAGCTGAAGGTACAGTACAAGCTCCTCCATGCGCTAACCCCTTGGTCAGACTGGTTTTTCATGGCTCCTCCACCTTCAGGCATGGAAGGGACAAGCCGGGGAAGGAGGGAGACACCATATAGCTGGGGGCACAGCCGGACCTCAGCCCCACGGAGGTGCTCGTGCAGGGGGAGCAGGCTCTGCCCACGGGCAGGATGACTTGTGATGGAAGCGGGGAGCAGATCTCCTAGATGTCAGCCAGTGGCTGAGACGCCTCTCACCCATGACTCACTCACACTTCCAGGCATTGGGCTCCGCTCAAGATCCAGGAAACTCTTTCCATTTGCTCAGCTCAGTGAGGCCCCTGACCTTGTGCTCCCCCCTCCTGAGCTGCCGCTCGGCTCCGCAGGTGGGGGATTAACCCCTCGGCCACACCATTTCCCGCACGGCGGAGCCGGGAAGGCGCCTGGCCGGGTTGTTCCACAAATCACTGTCAGGTCTCTCCTGCACACCTCTGGGGTCACCAGCCCGCAGGGCTCTGTGCTCCCACCTAGCACACAGGCAGCAGGGCTCCTGTCTGCGTGCCAGGAAAAGGACAGGCCAAAAAAACCGTGGCAGGGACCCAAAACAGCGCGACCCTGAGAAGGGGTGTGAGAGTTGGTGGGACAAGACTCACCTTTGTGCAGGAGGCAGACCTCAGGCTCAGCGCTGCAAGGGAAGAAGAAAAGGCGTAAAACTAACCCTGCCAGTCCTGGCAACAGATGGCCCAAGAGGGCAGGCGGCGAGTGGGGGATGGCTGCGGAGGAGCCTGCCCACGGCACTCCTCCAGCAGGCAGGAGCAGAGGCAGGCCAAGGGACTTTGCTGCTCTTTGGTCATGCCATCTGCTTCTTCCCTGGTCTGGGTTCTTCCTCATCCCTTCTACTGCTACTCCCAGCTCTGTTGCTCACCCATAGCTGAGGCTGGTGCGACCTGGGCCAAGACACCCATGTCCTTTTGCCCCACGGGCCAGGTGCTGGAGTCTGACCCCACGGCTGAGCTGCGTGGTGATGTCCCACTGCCTTCAGCAGTGCTGGCTGGGAAGCAGGGAGGATGGGACAGCATCTCACTGCCTGGTCTAAGTCAGCACTGAATTCCTGCTTGCTTCCTGGGAGCCCCCCTGTAATCTGGCCCAGGGATCAACCCAGTGAAGCCAACCCTGGCTCTCCTATCACTGCCCATCCTTCTGACGTCCAGCACCTCATCTTCTCCCACCCCAGACTCACCTGGGGGCAGGAGAGGAGGGTGGAGAGGAGGAAGAGGAGGGGAATGCAAAATGGTGCCCAGTGGGTGCGGCAGACGAGTCAACAAGGTCAGGCATGGCAGGCGAGGTGCCCACGGTCTGGGTGATCACCAACTCTGGGTCCAGCACATAGAGCTCGTCCTGAGAGATCTCTGTCACATAGTTGAGGTGCTCCTGAAAGACACAAATCAGTCTCCTCATAAGACCCACTTCTGCATAGCTCCACCTCCCATCCCCACGCGTCCCATGCCTTGTAGCCCACCCACTCACTCAGCAGAGTGATGGTGGCTCAGAGAGTCCTGGGACCTGTGGCTGGAAAGCCTCCACATCTCCTTGCCTTTTTGAGGCTTCCCATCTCCTCCCAAACTAGCAGCTGACCTGTACACCTCAACTCCATATCCCCCTCTCCACATCATTAGGGAAAGTATTTAATGCTGGGTAAGATGACCCCAGCTGGTGGGTGCCTGGCCAGCCTTGCTGCATTGCTATTCCTTACCTGCTCTGCTGTAGCATCCTGCAGGCAGGTTCCAGCCCAAGTCTCTGTGCTCCCACCCCCACCCATGCTTCCTCCCTTTCCACAGTAACCTGGAGGTGCTGGGGCTGGTCCTGGGCCAGGTCCACCACACCACCCCTTGGGAGATGCCACAGGGCAGGGCAGCAGCGTGAGACCTGCATGTCCCCAAGGCTGAGCCTGCCTGTCGGTCCACGTGAACGCAGGACACTCAAGTGCCTTTCCAGCAGATGCCAGGGTGGATGATGGCAGAGGATGAGGCCAGACTCACCTGTGCGCGGTCTATCCTGTAGAACCGATCAGCTGTGGTTGCTGTAAGACAGGGACAAGACAGAGTGATTCTTGATGTGGCATGAAGGAGACGGCCATTTTCTGCCACCGAGAGGTAGTGAACAATCCAGCCACTTTGTGGCCTGCATGGAGGGCACAGCAAAGCAAACACCACCCCCTGACCATGACCAGGCCCCTTCCATTTGGGACCTTGCTGTTTTCTTTATTTGAGGCAGCCCCTTGGGCCTGCAGACCACTATGCCCCTGTGCCACATGCCTTTGCTTGCTATCTCCTCCTTGCTGACTCCTCACAGGGAGCCACAGGGAAGGCAAGAACACGCCTAGCCGATGCAATGGCCTTTCTGGGGGCTTTTGGGTGCTCCACCATTAGCCTGAGCAGACGAAGCTCAGGGCTGCGAAATACTTTCACTTGTACCAGGTGAGGAACTACTCCAATTTAACACGGTACACCTCGTTGCAGAGCGCCAAGAAAGGAAGGCACTAAGCAGGGTTGGGAGAAGAGGGAGGTCAACCTCCCACTGACTTGACTAAGGTCCCATGGACCACCATGAGGCCATGCCAGAAGCTGCGACTGCCAGGTACAACGGAGCACGCCACTGCCAGCTGTAGATCCAAGCCCCTGTCTCCTAGGATGGCAGGAGAGAGCTTCAAACCAGCCTCCAACCTGCTGCTGGCAGCAGCCTGTCTGAGTGCATCCCTCTGCTCGTCCCTCTTCCCTAGAGGAGCGATCCCCACAGCAGGAGAGGATCTCCTTCAACACCAACGGAGCAAGTGGCTGTGCTGGAGCCAGAGCCACGCAGCCACCAGGCCCAGGTGAACAGGGAGGGTCTGGGGACTTACACCGTCACTACAGGAGAGCAGGACATGCAAGAGCACAGCGCCAGGACAACTGGGTCCTCACACAGGGTGGCACCTACCCAGTGTCCCACCAGGCTGCTGGTGCCAGCCCAGGCGAGGCTGCTGCAGTGGGACCCTTGGGGACCTGGGGAATTCTCTCTGCAAACAGAGCGACGACAGGCCAGAGCAGATGAGAGGAGTGAAAGCGTCCTGTTAATCCTGTCCTGGCTGGAGACTTACAGCCAGGGAGCAGCTGCTGAAGGCCTGTAATTCAGCCGCTTGAATAAGCCTGCCTTGTCTTGAGTGAGGCTCTGGCCTCCTTCCTGACACGTTTTCCTGAGCCCAGAACCTGCTGCTGGGAGACTGGCAGGAGGAGGGAAAGCGGTCCTGGTACAGCAGTCCCGGTAGGGACACCTGGGAGCAGCAGCCCCACGCGCAGGGCTGGAACCCCGACGGGAGACGCTGTACCCTCTGGGCCCAGCACCAGGCTTCCCAGGCAGCCCACAGCTGTGCTCTGCTGGGCTCTGCACCCTGAGACTGGGAAGCCAGCGAGATGAAGTGCCACCAGCAGCCATGTCTCTCGGCCAGCTTCCAGGTACAGGGGAAGAGCCCTAGAGCCTCTTGGTCAGCGAAGGCAAAGGCAGAGGAGAGAGCTGCTTTCAGGCAGGGGAGAAGAAGGAGTGGGAGCCCAGTGGGGAGCTGGCTTCCACAGCATCGGGGTGCTGGAGCAGGGGGGCCCTCTGCCTGCACGACACAGGAGAGCAGCCCGGCAGCGACACACGCTGCCAAGCTGCCTTCTGCTCCAGG